TAAAAATTTAATTAAAATAATTAATTAAATTTTTCTAAATTATTGGTTAGGCCTATATTATTCCTGAAAAATGGCCGCAGCTTAGAAGTAACAGTTATTAGATGTTCGACTGTAGTTTTATTGTTACAGAATGGAAGAAATAAAAATTAAGATTTAAAATATCAAATTTAATGTTACAAAACTGCATAAAAATATTGAAAAATAAAAAATGACGTAAACTGTTTTTTTGATGAAGTAGTTGTAAGAATCATCAAAAAAAGTTAAATTTTGATAAATATTATTAAATATAGTGTAATGCTTATTATTTAAATTTAATTCTATTTGGTTATAAGAAAATAACTTAAATAAAAAGTCATTATATAATACATTTTAATTTTTTAAAGACGATGTTTTCGTTATTTACTTAATAAATTAAATCTTAATATTTAGTATATTTAATATCTTCTTTATTTATAATTATAAATTAACGAATATGAATAAATGTTTAATATATTAGGAAATAGAATTTGTACATTTATTAAAGTTTGCTTTAGAATACTCCAATATCAATCACCTCTAAATATCAGCCATTTTTTTCAAATGCATACAAAATAACCTCCAAACGATGTCCACTTTTATGTTTCCGTTGTTAAGAGGTTTGACTTTTTAAATTAAAATTTAAAAATAACCTGTACTGTACTCTGCCTACAATTTTTAATTAACTCATGTAGAACTACTGCAATATTTCGAAATAAATATACAGCATTTATATTAAAAAATGCATTCACTTTTTGATATTTAACTACAATTATTTTAATTTAATATATTAGTTTGGTATGTGTTTATACAATGAAAACTAAGCATTGTGTAATAAATAATATAAGCCCATACGTCTACTCAGTTCCGTATCGAGAGTCAGCTTTAGTATTCTCCTTTTCGCATTGCTCCATCAAACAAATACATTAAATTAGGCCTACATTTTTTACTTGTATATTCACTCATTGTATATTTTTACTTATTTATATTTACTCATTTGCTATTATAATATCTGAGAGAATATTTAAAATTTTTCCTGTTACAAAATTTATCTTCAATTTTTAAAAGCTGATTGCTAACTTTGATTAAATTTATCATCTATTTACCAAAGTATTGTCGCTCGAAAGAAGCGATAAATAGAGTAAATACTTTTAAAATACAAAAAATATCATTAATTTGTAGCTTATATAAAAATTTTATACACATTAATTTTAACTGTTTATATTAAAATCATACTAATTAGTGTAACTGCATTGGTGCTAATAATTATAAATTGTATAGAGATAGGGTAGTGTTTTTATAATGCAATATTTATCGTTATTCTTCAGATAAGTTTGTATTAAAGTCCACAGATAGGTCTACTCTTAAACATACTTTGCTTAAGGTGTATTACACGAATTAATTGCCACTCTGTTCAAATATTCCAGGCATTAATAAAGAATGAAAGCAGTTATACTTGTCCTGTCCATTTTATATGCTTCATTATATACTACTCTTGGAAGCTATAAAACTTGTAAGTATTTTTTAAATACATTTTGAAATTAATTATAATGTTTCAATTAAAATTTTATTATTGATAGATTATATAAATTTCAAAGATAAAAATTTCACAAGCGAAACTTATACAATATATCGAAAATATAAATTGTAACTTAAACTTAAATTACATATCTAAACTTATTATTTAAAGACCTGTTTAAAATATAAAAAAAAATTATAAACTTAATAATTATAAAAGATATTAATTCTTATTTACTATTTAAATTTTACTAGAAATAAAACGATAGGGTTATAAGGTAATCTATAATTGCCTTTAATAATGACTAATATAAAATAGACTTATTAACTTTCTTATTAAAATAATTAGTCATTATGATCAGTTTATATTCTAATTAAATTTTAATTAATATTTAAAATGTAATTTTTTATTTATTTTCAATAGATAATGCGTACGATGTTTGTACTTCACCCGGAGCAAAAGCAGAATATAAGTTAGGAGATTATGGAGACAATACTGCAGTAAAGTTGGAAGCGAGTAAATCGTCGAAGAAAAAGGAATTGTATAGTTGTAACATAAGTTTTAATACTTCCACTCCACAGCAGAAACTTGCAGTTGCCATTAGAAAAGTAAAGTTTCCTGGAAGATGTGACAACTATTTCGTAAACGTAAGATTTACACTTATTATTTTTAATTGGATTATTTTTCTAAATTAAACGAAATTGATAAATACATTTAAATATCTTCAAACTTTTAAGAATTTATAGATTCTTAAAATTTGAAATTAGTAGATTACATTTTTATGATAATCTTGATAAAATGGTAATTTTCTTACTTTTTCATGGTTAAGAATAATGTATAAATCAATGTAATATTTATAAATACATTTATTTCATTGTAATAACATTATTGTGTGCAATTATTTTTTAACCATCTCACTGGAAAGTTCTGAAAATCTAATAAAACAATTTTGTTTCCGTACTAGATCCATTTATTCTTTTATCTAATTGTGATTTTAAAATATGCGTCTTATAATTGAATACAATTGGTCGATTTAATGCATATAAGATAATTTAAATTGCCTATGTAAATAAAGGAATAATAATTAATGTAATTTACTTTTAGGTTTATGACGTAGGAAAGTTTGTTATAGGAAAGTTATGTAATAGCGTAAATGATAACGATGAACGTCAAACTATGTTTACGAAGGGTCCATCAATTCGTTTCGAATTTTCAGAGTTTAAATCTTCTGATGTAAAACTGGAACTTATTATAACGTCTTATTCGGGTAAGTTTTATTGCATATTAATATTCATTTAAATAATTTATAAAAATGATTAAATTTTATTCATAGTAATCAAAATTTATCTTACATACAGTGGCGTAACTAGTAATTACGCCACTGCTTCAGCAAAATATAATAAAGGGTCCTCCAAGCTTATGGCCCAGCCCCTCTACTAGAGTAATCCTTTTTTTTAAGTTTTGGAAAGTTGGACGGAAAACGTTTTGAATCTGTTCCATAATAATAATTTTGGTAAAATTTGGTTAATTTTGAATAAGATTTAAGAGTTACTACCAAGATCTTAAAAATCATAGTATGTTATCGATACAATGCTAAGTATACGACCACTTACTGTTGAAATAGAAAGTACAGCAGTAGAGCACGATGCTTTTACCTCATGTTCTATAACAGTCCATATCAGGTCTTCTAGAACAATCTAGAACCTTCCAGAGTGTTCTAGATCTTTCCGGAACATTATTAAATCTTCCAGAAAGTTCTTCAGGAAACTTCTGGAACATTGTAAACCTTTCAGAAAAATTTACTGAAACATTTTGAAGTTTCAGTTTTAAGTTTGTTTTCAAATGCCGCGCTTTTAAATGACATGCAGTTTTGAGGAATTTCCAACAGTACAAGACTGCAAACTCCACAATTGCCAACGCTGCTTTAAAGAAGTTTTCTGGTTTTGTGCCTCAGTGAAGAGTTGGTTGCCTTTCATTTATTTGATAAAAGGTTACCAATAGATACAAAAACCAAAATGATTCGAGCTCTGCAAAATGAAGATAACGAGAACATCCCAAAGCGAGTGACGGTCGATTAGGATGGCATCTTGGACAAAAAGTTGGATTATTTTGTGCCACTCAACAGTGAGATTTTTCGATATACTCGAACTTGACTTGAAATTCACAGAATTGAATCTCGAACTCTGACCNTTATACATTTATAATAGATACATTTTGAGTCACAACAAGGTGTGGCGGGGTCTGCTAGTAGTATAATAATGTAACTCATAATTATATTAAAATATTTTTCTTGTTTTAACTTAATTTTAAAAGTTTTTATTCTTACTCTAAAATTCAAACATCTCTTTATAGTGTTTGATCTAACTTTCTACTAAATGATCATTATCGTGGAGAAAGACCGGCTTAATTCTTGGCCTAGATTTATTAAAATTGGATATTGATGGAACCTTAATCTAAGGTTCCACTAGTAAAATCTATTGTAATAATCTAATTACGTAAAAATTGATCTTAAAAAATATTCTGTGTTAGAATATAATTTTACAGGGAGATCGGAGAGAGTTGCAACACTATAGAGTTTTTTGATTTTGTTAAATATGCATACATTGATAAGCAAATCTAGTTAGATTTTATTTTCAGCTGCAGACTAGTATTAATTTTTAAACTGAATACTCATTTTCATTTTTATATCTAAAAATAACAGAACAGTTCAAATGCTGCCCTATCACTGAGGCAAGTTGCAACACAATTTTACTATATTAATATATAGATTTATTTCCAAACATGATCTTACTGCAACGTTTCAGGTATACTTTCAGCTGCTTTTCTTCACTATTAAATATGTCTACTTGGCTAGGCGATTTATAGCCAGTATTCAGTAGTTGTTATCTCCTGATTCTTTTTTCTTCTGTAATTTTATTATAAACATTGATAATGTGCAATAATAGATATTTTATTTTTCTCCAACTTTTCTGCAAAAACAATATATATAGGCTATATATAGCCTATACTTACGAGTCTTCTGCTTCTGGAATATCTTCAGATGCTTCAATCATAACGTCAGTTGGAGTCTTTTCCTTTTCTGTTTTGCACGTGTAATTTTTAATGTTGTTCTGCAAACGAAAGTTCTTTTCATGATCATAAAACTTACACCTAACTCAGTTTCTTTACTACAACAAACATTACAATATCAACGGAAAGAATGAGGTTTAGAAGAACGATACAACTGAATAAAGTGGATAAACGCCAAGTGTTTTAATAATAACACAGTCTTGTGTTCAATAGTAAAGAACGATACAATTTTGTATCAAACTAATGTTGTTGCAACTTTCCCCATATAACAAACACTACTTGCCATGCTGATTTTTTAAAAGATCACAGTAGTATTATCATAAAATCGTCCAACGCATTAATACTACTACAGCACGCATTAATACTATATAGATACATTACCATTCCTTCAAAATAAATAGTTGTGAAACTTAGAGATTTAGTTTAGAGCCGGAACAATAGCCTTTCCCTTATAAAAAATATCTTGTTTATTCCAGACTACCGAAATTTCTAGAATAGAAGTATTGTATAATACGCAGTACCACCTATTTGCGAACATCAATTTTTAAATTGCAACGTTGCAAACCTATCTCTTTTGCATTTAGCCCTGGTCTCCACTAATAGTTTTAATTTTATCATTATGTTATTATATTTTATTTGATTTACCTCATCATAATTAACAATAATAAACAGCTAAGTTGACACAAGTAAACTGATACTGATAATCAAAATGCCGAGTCTTTTTTTCCATTTCTTGAATTATTCTAATGAAGTTGTGCCCTTTGCTGACGTAAACGCATACTTAGTTTTTTTTTAAATCTGCAATAAAGCTTAATTATATTCCTGTGTATTTATTATATTTTTTTATTATTATTCTAAACGAGATATACAAATTTATACGACGTGGTATTTGTTTTCATTTAGCATTTTAATTCATTTGGAAAATATAAGTGCAAATAAGGCTATCGATTTCGTGTGGTTTATTAGAAAAGAAGAATTGATTGTTTTTGGTTTTGAAGTAGGTTATTTATAATCCAAAATCCAAAGTAAACCTATCCTATTGCACGTTTAGCGTAATTTTGAAAGAAGCAGAGTTGGAAAAATACGTAAAATTATTATATTTCATTTAATTTCCTGTTTGGTGGAAACGAGATGTTAAAGATATAATTGGAAAAATATCCAGCTTACTACACATTATCTATACTAATATAATAAAGAGGTAATGTTTGTATGTTAGTTTGTATGCAGCAGGTAATCTCCAAAACTACTCATCCGATTTCAAAAATTCTTTCACCAATATTTAGAATGGAACCTCAGGGTGGACATAGGCTGTCGAATACATGTCGAAATTACCCTATTGGGGGGAGAGGGACAGGATTAAGGCTTACTGTGAAAAACTTCGCTTCTATTATACTATTTTAGATGCGGGTTTTTGCGTTTTTGATTGCGTTTTAATAG